GGGGGAGAGGAAACGAAACGTGGAGGAAAGAAAAATGTACTGAACTACCCAGGGTGAGAAAGTGACAGGGGGGAAATAATTTCCGCCAGGACTGTAACCAACACCTGGGCTAGTGTGCACACACCCCTCGCACCGCGACACGGAACTCTTTTGAAGAGGCCAGGCCCCCTGTTAACCACGTACATGTACCTCTATCGATTTCGCATTTTCTTTCGATCAGTCATAAAAACCCGAGGTCTGTAAGCGCTGGCGGATGTGTGGGTGGGGGGTTGTAACGCCCTCTACAGCTACATACATATGTCCCACATTGTACATAATGTTACTTGAAATAAGCACATAGTTTTGTTTCTACTAAAGTCGAAATGAGTTTAGAAAAAACGTGTTTCCTTTCGTCTAGTTGGTGGGTGCATCGGCACGACCACGTTCAACGGGGGAAAGCAAAAACAGACAGAAACAAAGGAAGAATAGGAAATAGTTTAAGGGAGGGAGACCTGCCAGTGTCACACCAACATCTCCTGCAGTTTTGGGACAGGAAAGAAATTGTTAGACCTTATAATTGTCATTTTAGAATGCTGCAGAAATTACAGAATTTGGTTTCTTCGACAAATGTGTACTGCAATAAACTTACTAAAAGTAAACTCAACAAGGCCGAGTTGAAAAAGGAAAGGGTTGGGGGCTTTTCGAGGGATGGGGGTTAGTAGACAATATACATGCTCCAAAAAGTATGAGGTGATAATGGCAACGACAACCTCTATTGATCCCTGAACGGGAAATTCGCTCTGGTCGTGCTCAACAATAGCAAGGGACACAGAGTATTGCATTAATCTATTTGAGAAACATATGGGTGTGGTTGAAGAATAGAAGAAATGGGGTGTGTTTGAGTGTGGGTGGGAAGATAAAGGCAGTTGCTGCTTAAGGCGCGAGAGTAAAACACATTGGTGTGTGATAGTGCGAGTCTGTGATCGCACGTGCACATGCATATCAGTGTATGTGCATGTGTGTGTGCGTATGTGTGTGTGTGCGAGAGAGAGAGAGAGAGAGAGAGAGAGAGAGAGAGAGAGAGAGAGAGACCATTCGTGTATAAGCGGAAACGCGCACATACACAGACCTTAATATTTCCCTGGGGGGGTAAGACATTAGAAGAACTGCTTAAAGCGTGCAAAGAATCTGAGGAAACATTTGCATATTTTCCTCATAATAATGATCTCTACTTAATAATGATCTCTTCTCTAAGAATTTTGAACTCTGTGACGGGCGTGGGTCAGTGACCGTGTGCAGAAAAAATAGAACATTCTATCCCCTCCCAATGAAGTTGTTATCCGAAGATCCTTCTCTAAAACAAGCTAGATCTAATCTATAGCTCGCGTTCCCCAAAACAGCTATTATAGAGACTTAGCTTAGTTTTAGTAGAGGTTTTACGGCGCTCGCAACTGCAAAAAGGTCATATGAGCGCCAGATGATTAGAGGTGTTACAAGAGAGTAACAAACATAAAAAGGGGAGTTAAGGACGATAGATGTTAGATAGGGAAGAGGAAGCAAACTACACCTGAGCACCCGCCAACCACCCACATAGACCCTTAGACAGAAAAGGAGCTTTTTATTCACGAAAAATGAACAACACCAAATATAAAACTTCAAAAGCAAACTAAAATAGGAGGGTGGTTGTCGGGTGCTGTAGTGTACATTGCTCATATTTTCTATCAAATATAATATGTCGTCCTCATATCTCAGCCTTATTTTCTTTGTGAATTTAATCTCTAGCACTCTAATTTTCGGCACTGATATTATGAAATACACGTATTTCTGTTGAAAGTGCCGTAAATATGTAACTAAAACTAAATTAAAATATTCAGAAAATAATCCACCATAAGTAAAAGCATTAGATTTATAGTAGGCCATTATTTTTTTAAAGTGCAAATGAAAATGGAAATCTATGATGCATTATGAAATGACCTTGAGCAAGACGAAAGAACACACTACATAAGAGTAATAAGCTCATGATCGAGCCTGTGCGACGTAGTAACTAGAAACGGTGTTTGAAAACAAAATGCCAGGTTTCAAACGTTGAGTCCAGGGTTCTTTTGTGCGAAGTAGAACTTCCTTACAAGAACAATTAATTGGTCTTTCTTTTATTAGTTTACCTTCCATTGCTAACATGAGTTAGTCATATCTGTTCTATTAGCCAAGGGAGGGGGGGGGGGGTCTTTTCTTCCAGTTAACATTTTTCTATTCACTTTTTTAATATTTTGAGACCCAAAAATGCCATCCGTTGTTTAAGTTACTAAATCAATACTGACGATCACAATAAATCAATAATCTTCATTTTTTGCCCCTTTAGAATCAATAATTACCTGATGCGTGTTTCAATGTGACAGAGGAAAGGGATTGTTTGCGGCAAAAAGAAAGAAGGGTGGGAATACTAACA